CCCCATGCATCACCTATGCCTGGGACACCCATTATAATTCCCAATAGCTGGCTGGGACCAGCCTCTAAAATCCAGGACTATCCCAGCTAAAACGGGACTTATGGTCCCCCTACTCTGTGGACCAGATCCAGCCCAGAGGCCTGAGGTTGAGCATCATTAGATAGAATAGCACACAGCAGAGGTGTAATGTTGCTGATCCCCTCACCTAAACAGTCAAGTTCTTAAAATATCTTCTAGTTGAAAATTCCCATTTCTCATTAATGTAACTCCAAACATGACACACTGCATAGTGTAACCTGGATATAACAAAAGCATGTATGACTACAGTCAAGCCAACATCATTAAAGTAAGGCTGTAAGCTTACATGTAGATACAAATGGAAAAAGTGCTAGGAGTTATGTTGTTATCTGCAAATTTGACAGCAGACAGAGATGAAATTCTGGAAAATTCTTTGGCAAAAGTAGACATACCTGTACAATAGATGGAATAGTCATTGCCATTGACAGGTTCTATAGTTGAAACATGGTTATATAAAGATGAGACCTACCCCACCCCCCCGACCCAATAGCTGCCCTTCCATGATTTAGTAACTTTCCCAGAAATCCATAAACAAAATTAGGAGAAAGAAACAATTGTTAACACAGTCAGTCATATAATGGCTTTTCACACAAAGGACTAGACACTACTGCATAAATTTCATTTTAAAATTGAATTGTAAGAAGTGGCATGAATTTGTTTGGTAAGAAGCTTTACAGTTACATTGTTCAAAAGAGCAACCTACAGCCTACAGATCAAATCCAGCCCATTAAGCAATATTATCCAGCCTGCAAAACTGGGAGGTCAGTGGTATTGTTGCAATAGGGCAAAGCGATGGCCAGCCTTTAGAGCAAACTCTGTTCATTTGGTACCCCTAACTCCTTAAAGGTTGCCAATACCTATACTAGAGCAAACAAACCCCAAACGCTTCCAGTTTTCATGTACTTTCTACCAAACACATAACGTCCTTGAAAATGAATGTGATCCATCACAATTTAATCTATACTAAGAGAGTTTTAAAATTTCTCATTTACCCTGCATCAAATGGACACTTGATGAAAAACACTATTATTCAGCTCTGTTTTATTCTGATGGGCATTCTGGCTTTGCTCCTAGGAATGGTGTGTTTTCACACATTGAATGAGTAATGAATTTAGCCCAGGCTGTGACTCCCTCTGAAGTAGTTTGCCTGTAGTATGTGTTACCTATATTTGAAATTAAGAGGAGGACTTGTTCCAACAATTACATATTGAAATAATATAGCTACAAGATTGGCCCACTGTAGATAAATCTATATATGTCTTCAGGAAAGATTTGGAACATGGAAAATAGTATTTTATATCAAGCACTTTCAATTAATACTAGAATGGATGAATGAGTTCAGGTTAAAAAATATATTTTAATATATGCAGAGGTAGAACAATTGCTAGTTTTTATTTTATTTAAACTAGTTCCCTACTGAATCCCTCATATTTAGGGGTCCTGTTTTGATACTATGACATCAATGAACTGCTCCCCTCTTCCTGATCTGACCATTCTCTGAAGGATGGATTGAGAAGCTCAGCCTTAACTAACCCCACTGGGATAAGTACTTCATCCAGGCTGCCTATCAGCAGCTAAAACCTTTACTCCTGGATCACTGGTTTCCAAATTCATCTTTGTAAATGCATGATGGTTTTTAATAAGTTGGACTCAAACCTGTGCAAAACACTCAGTTTAGTCCAGTTGCAGAATGAAGCCATCAACTTTACCTTACAATTTGAATTCATTCACTTGAAAGTCAGCCCATACTCAGAAGTTTGAAGCAAGATGGATTCCTTGTACATCTCTTTGTATATCTGGATGAAAGTTGAGGGACAAAGATTTAGTTTTAATTCTAATCTTAATTCTGATTTTCTGAAGGGGTCTTAGACTGAATTTTATATCTTTACAACTTTTTTTTTTTTAAATATATGGTTGCTTGTGTGCCACTGCAGTACTAGAGCATTAACCATGCCTTGCTCTACTGCTTTTTACGTATAATATGTTATAGGGTATTTTTTATTTTTACATATGCTTTGGAGTTGTGGTATGTGAGGGTTTAGAGTGGATAATTTTTTTAGGACTCTTTGAATAAAATATTGCCTACAAAATACATGGACTGGACTCAGTTCTCTCAAGAGGCTCCTTCTAATCATATGTTCAAACTTTTTTCAGAATATATAAGGTATATTCTCAAAAAACCTGAAGTGTTCATGACACATGTCTTGAGATAGAATAGATACATGATCTAAAGGCAATACAGGACAGCATTTTTTCACTCAAGAGTTAGTTCAGGCGTTGGGCACTCTGGTACAAGCAACCAACTAGTGTGAGTGTGGAGGAGCTATTGCTCTGGGGACATATCCTATGGTTTACCTGAGCTTCTCCATGATTTCTTCCCAGTTTTGTTGTGGGAAGCTTGATTGCCTTTCAGAGCACTCAGGGAGAAAGACAATGCTAAAGTGCTAGATATTAGAACTCCCTTAGTTAAGCCTATGTCCACACTGCAGTGCACGCAGATTGCCATCCAAATGTCAGTAGTGCCTGGGCTTCAGGCTGTATCTAATAATAGGCCAAGTGGCCTGGGTTTAAAGTACCACCATGATCTAGCAAAAAGCATTGGTCTTTGCATGAACGCCATGTTAGGGACAACACCCAACTAAAAACCCATATGAATTTTGAAGTGAAAACAAATCTTCAAAAGGCACAAATCAGCTTAGTCCTCATGGTATGCTCACCTTACATTTCACAGCCACTCTGGTTCCCCTGCCTCCTGCAGGAGCTATACTTCATTCAAAACAAGTGGTACAAACTTAGAGTTGAGGGTAGGTAGCTAATATAAAAAAGAAGGTACTGCCAGAAAAGAGAAAAGCATGTATGTTGCATAAAACATGTTTGCTGCAGTTAACAGTAGTTCTTAGCAGAGATGCTCCCACTCCAGAGGTAGTCTGAACAAATCACTCTAAGCATAGATTATACATGCATCAGAATTTTACTGTCTATCATATCTAGGGATCTACTCAGTTCACAATTTCCCAGATTTCGCAGAAACTGAAATTGGGCATTGTCCATGAAATCCACACCCACAAAAAAAAACTTACTAAAAATAAAATGCTAGATGCCCAGTGAGATCCAGAGGTCCTCATGACCACTGCAACCCAGCCTTGCAGCCCAAAGCAGGTGGAGGGGGGAGCTGCTAGTGCAAAGGGGAGCAGCCAAGATGGAAGCTACCGCCCCACCCTACCTGCCCCTCATTGCTGATTTGCTGAGTAGGCTGTCCATCTCATGGCCCTGCCCATCTTGGTCAATCAGCAGCAAAGGGAAAGGCCACATGATAGACAGCTGTCAGCCTTTCAGCAGTGAAGGGCAGGGCCACAATTGGCCCTCAACCAATCAGTGGGGTTGAGGAGGGGCACCGCAACAAGCCTGCAGAAATGATGGCCAGCCCCAAGATCAGCTCACAAAATCAGCCACCTTCCTCCTCCATTTCATTAGGTCCCTAATCATATCAGATTAGGAAAGGATCATAAGACAGTAGGATTTGCAGGAATAAAGTACTGAAATAACTAAGTGGCAGCTTTTAGTCTATGACTACAGGTCAATGGGACTAGATTCCTAACTCCCATTGGTACTTTTGATAGGGGCATAGAACTGAAAAACTGGAGGTTCAGGTTGAAGCCTCCTTAAAACATGTGGTCATTTAGAGGTTCTGCTTCTATTGTCAAAGATGGGTGCAGGCCCTCTAGAGGCATATTTTTGGTCCAAAATCTTTAGGTAGTTCAAGGTTTGTTCATAAAGAGTGCTTATACATGTGCAGCGAGGCTGCTCTGACATGCTATAATTACAGCACATCGGAGCAGACTTGATTAATCAAGTCTCCTCCTGTACTGGTATCCCCACATTGAAAAATGGTGGCAGGGGCACTTTAACTAAAGCTCATTCAAGCCATTTTTCAGTGCAGGGATGCTGATACATGAGCTGCTCTAATTAAAGTGCCCCCCACCCCTCATGTGTATAAACACCTAAAGCGCTGAAGAAACTCATTTTCACTTAAGAGCTCAGTTTCCTTTTCCTTTACATCTGCCTCCAAATAGTTTTACATTTCTTAAATTTCAAGGTTAAATATATTTTTTAGCAAATTGAGCAATTATGCTAAATACAGGAAATGCAGATGCTGCCAGCCAGCTTGAGCAGTTTTGTTAACAAAAATGAATCTATCCAGATGCATAATGTATAACCTTAAGGCTGTAACAAAAGTCTGTTCAATTTGGAGATTAAAATGCGCACAGAAATCCAGAACTAGGTCTGGATATTTATAATATTAATTCTTTTGCAAGGGTACAGCTGATCCAGTTTGAACAGATAATTGTTCCTGCAACTGCTTTAAGTTAATCTGACTCAACATCACATGTCCAAATACATTTGAGCAGGGAAAAGTAAGCTAAAATGAAAAACTATTAATTTCATTCATAAATGTGTTACATGATTGTTGTGTTTAAGTATCCTCCCTTGGAAAATGTTTTTTTTTTCCATCTCATTACTGCCTTAGCAATAAGCGCTTTTCCTGCAGTCAATTCCTCCAATTGTGGATATCATATTTTATGTTCACATAGTTAAAAAAGTATGATATATTTACTGGTGATTTAAATGATACACAATTGAGAGTAAGGGAGGCAGACTGACAGGCACGTTGTCTTCTGTCTGATCACTTTAATTTCAGGCTTCAGAGACCACAAACACAGTTGTTCAAATAGCTGTATTTTAAATATGTGGTACTGGAAAGAAGCCTGTGTGCACCTGTCTGGTGCTGTTATCACTGATGTGGCACAGCTACAGAAAAAAAAGTCTATTAAAGACTGAAGGCAGGCTATTATAGTTACTTCAGCTGAAGTGTCATCTTTAGCAGATGTGTTTTCATCTTTCCTTTTCTTCTTCCTTTGCAGAGAACAAACATTGTATCCTATCCCAACATGAAGTACATCAAGGGGATTAAAGTCCTCTATTTCCAGAACAGGTAAAGCTTGTGGCTTACCTATGCAAATTTCCCCTACAGTGCCTGCTGATGTGTTTCAACTGAAAGGGTCAAATTGAGTGATAAGATACAGTTTGTATGCTTATTCATACTCCACACTGGGGACATCTACATGTGCAATTAATGCAAAGCAATAAACACCAGAATTTATTGCTCCCGGGTGCAGTGTTTGAACATGTGCCAGAGACTGCAGCATGTTGAACTGGGGGGAGTAGCCCCAGCTGGCGGTGGCCCCAAGAATCAGCCTGCCAGCCTGGGGCAGCTTCCTCCAGCTCAACATGCTGCAGAAGGGCTGGCTGGGGCATGAGGGTGCTTCAATGTGAAGCTAGCTGGCAGGCAGCCCCTGCACTAAAGCACCCTTGTGTCCCAGCCAGCTGGGACAGTGTCTACAAGTGTGCTGATACAAAGTAAAAAACTGCAATAGGATAGTACTTGTAGTTATAAGTCCTACCCTGCTGCAGAGCCAATTAGATTACTCCAGCCTCATAGGGGTGCACATGTGGATGTGCAACATTTACTGCCAAGCTAGTAAGTCAACTCCACGTCTTGTGTAGACACACCCACTGAGACTACAAAGATGGGGACCAATCAAGTTGCATGTAAAAATATGCTTAGCTTAAATGTCAGTTTTGCCCGTGTGGCAGCCCCCTCACCTCCCTAAGAAACTATATGAGGTATTCATCTGGTATTAAACATCATCATGTTACCAAGGGAAAAATGACAGGCAAAGGGCTGAAAGCAGTGTCTGTCAAGGACTTCAAAGTTGAGGGTCTACAGAGAGTTCTCATTTGAATAAAAGCAAGGAACTTCATTCTCCTTTGTTCTGTAAACCTAAAGAATGCAGAATTGTATGTCCTTTGCTATTACTACTCATTTTAAGTAAACTGTGTTTCCTTGGTAACGCCACAAGTAGGACTCATAGGATCACAGGGAATTAGGGCTGGAAGGTCATCACAAGGTCATCCAAAGCAGCCCTATGCTCAAGGCAGGATCATCATGACTAAGCAAGCCAAGCCAAGTGTCTGTCCAACCTGGTCTTTAATATTTCCAGGGATGGAGATTCCACAACTTCTCTAGTAGGCCTCTTCTAATGCTTGGATGCCCTTACAGTCAAAAAGTTAACCCTAAAGTCCTAAATTTCCTCTACTGGAACTTGAGTCCATCACATACCTACATGCTTGGGAACTCCCTTCTTGTCATGCAGAAGCAGAAAAGGATCTTGGAGTCATTATTGATGCCAAAATGAACATGGGCCAGCAGCGTGGGGATGCAGTCAGGAAGGCCAACTGTACCTTGTCATGCATCCACAGATGCATCTCAAGCAGGTCCAAGGAGGTGACCCTCTCCCTCTATGCCACAGAGGTCAGGCTGCAGATGGAGAACTGCGTCCAGTTCTGGCACCGCACTTCAGGAGGGATGTGGACCAGCAGGCATTGGAGAGTCCCTGTTCCCCCGAGCACTGACAAGAAATAATGGTTACAAGCTGGCAGAAAGTAGATTCAGGCTAGATATCAGGAGGCGCTACTTCACAGGGCAGCTAGGATCTGGAACCAATTTCCAAGAGAAGTGGTGCTGGCTCCTACCCTGGGGGTCTTTAAAAGGAGGTTGGATGAACACCTTACCAGGGTCGTTTGACCCCAGTACTCTTTCCTGCCCATGGCAGGGGGTTGGACTTGATCTGCTCAGGTCCCTTCTGACCCTACCAACTATGAAACTATGAAACTTGTAGCCCTATTCACAAGACTAGAGACTTACTTAATTCATGGTTTTACAGATTTCGTGGAAACCACAAAAATCTAGGATTGTGTGTAAAATCCACAAAATCAACAACAAAAAAAAACCTTAATAAAAAATAAAATGCTGGCTTCCCAGTGGAAGACAGTGCTTATTGGCAAAGTCTCCTCAGCAGGGAGAGGAGGGTCCAAGGGGGCAGCTGCCCCATGAGCTAGAGCCTTCCCCTCCTGGCAGTAGGGACTGCTGAGGGGCAGGGCCACATGAAGAGCAGCCAACGATCAGGATGGCAGCTGCCCCCTCATCCCTCCTTCCCCCGGGACCTTTCTGCCAATCAGCACCCAGGGGCAGGCCTCTCCACCAATCAGCAGTGAGGGGTAGGGCCACTATGAAATGCCCACAAAATTGGCTCCGTCTGCCATTGGTGGACTGTGAAAAAAGCTCTCTCTCACTGCAGTTTAAGTAGGTCCCTACCTATGACCACAGAGAAAAGCCCATTTGCACCCTTTCTACAATCACCTTTTGGGTATTTGAAGATTGTTATCAATTTGCCTCTCAGTCTTCTCTTCTCCAGATTAAATAACCTTAGGTTTTTCAGACTTTCCTTACAAGTTATGCTTCCCAAGCCTCTAATCAGTTTTGTTGCTCTGTGCTGGACTCTTTTCAATCTGTCCACATCCTACTTGAAGTGCAGGGTTCAAAACTGTACACTGTACTGCAAGTGAGGTCTCACCAGTAATGAAGAGAGACAAAGAATCACTTCCCCTGATTTGGCCTTTTGGCAACAAGAGCACACTATTGGCTCATATTCAGCTTATGGTCTAACTCTATTGTAACACTTAGCTACTTTGAGTGTATTTACTTTGAAAATTTAAACATCTCCTCCAAAGCCTGTTCAGTCAATGGTCAAACTCGCATTGCCATCAGTAGGTTGAGGCATAGCTTAAATTTCATCCCTATATATCCTTACTAAATCCACATTATATTTTCCCTTTAGGAAGATAGAGATTCAGAAACAATGTGGGTGACAGAACTTCATGTTAACCATATAATCATTATTTGTTGAAGAACTGGGAGCCCAGAGAATAACTTTGTCATTTATTTGCACCTATGAGATGCTAGGAGAACAATACTAGAAATGAAATCAAGAACACTTTCACCATCAGAAAGTTTAATTGTTCCAGTGCCTAAGGCTTTGGATTTACCCAAAGACATTATTCAAATTTAGTCCCATTGAAGAATTATTTTCTTGCGACTTAATGCATAAACAGCATATTCCTAAGGATTCCTCAGGTAAGTAAAGGTTGCAGGACGGGGCATCAGTTGGTCTCAGTAGACATCACTGTACACCAGATGAGAAAGGTAACGTAGGCAGAAACACAACTACACATACACTTTAACAATGCTCTATGATACCAATGTTTCCAGTGCTGTTGAGTCTTACAGTCTTTGGTATTTTTCTTTTCATTCCCAGTTCCTACACTCATTTGATTACATTAAATCTCAACTTCAATTAAAATAAAACAACAAGAAGTACTAGTCCCCATGATTGTTGTGGAAAAACTTGAAATTGTGACCACTGGAGGCTAGGACACCAGAAAGCAACCCGTCTCCTTCAACATTTTAGTATTAAAAAAAAAAAAAAACAACAACAACGTCTCATGATTTCTGACTACCACTGTTGTGACAGGGGAAATAGCCATTTAGAAAATGCTATTGCCATAAAAAAAAAAAAAAAAATCAAGAGGTATTATTATTTCTAATTTGTCACAGAAGTTTTTTTAGTGTCATTGTTAAAAGAACAGTTTTCAAGAACAAAAAATTAAAACCAATTACAATTAAAAACTTCACAATGGAAAATATAAGGGAAAATATTTGCTTTGATTCTGCTTGCTCAGAATTAAACACACAAATGGTGCCTCTAAATCTGTGCCTGTTGAGACTAAATGTTTGCTTTGGGGAAAAAAAACAAAACGTTTTTCATTGGAGATTGAGCAATGCAATTCATAATTACAGAATTCTAGTAAACTGTAGCCTTAAAATTCCAAATAATTTTACAATATTTGTAAAAATACTAGTAGTAGAAATTGGTAAAAATGCAATATGATACAAGGAAGTATGGTGCAAGGAAATAAAGGTAAATATACTCATTTTAAAACAGACATTTTAGATGAGTTTGGTTCATTTGTGAGGGGACAATTGTCTCTAAATTTCAAAGTGAAGTGCAACCCCATTAAAATCTTTTTCACAGACTTCATTATCTTCCAACTCCATAAGAATGGACAAAAACAATATAAATTGGGATGATGTTAATGGGTTACCTTCAGATTTAAAACTAACAGAGCAATCTGTTGAAAACTGTCTCAGAATGTGACAGCAAGATTAAAAAGAAGATATTTCCACCAAGAGGCATTTCCTACACTACAGTAAAATAAGTTTTAAATGAATAAGTAAGAGAATGATAAAAAGAGAATATACAAGTGGAATATAGGTACTAATATGTTCCTTGAATATTGAATTAGAAATCAAAAGAGTCTAAAAAAAATAGAAAATAACTATTCTGTGACTGGAGAGGTATAACTGTGGACATTGGGGAAAATACTAAGACAGACAAGATACATAAAGCAAGTAAATAATTGGAGAGTGTCACGGCGGGGTCCCTTAGGAGGGCCGTGATCTCCTCGAGGTCCCTTGCTCCATGTCAAGGCCGGCCCAAGGCACCCTCTTATTCTCGTCCGCCACGCCTTTGATGTTCAGTAGGTTCGGGAGGCTGCCTATGACTCCCTGGGCACGGCTACTCGGGACCTCTGTCCCTGAACCCCCTGGGGGTCTCCCAGTGTAATGGGTGCTTCCCCAAGCACCCTAGCCTTATGGGTTACGCGTGGCTCCTACCAGCCCCTAATACCACGCCCCAAGCCTCGCTGATGGGAAAGACGTTGTCCTGTCCGAATACACCTACGCCCACTCTTGAGCCTTCTCTCCAATAAGCTAGTCCCCTCTGGGACATCCTCTCTGGCCACCGGTCTTTTGGGCCCACCGCCCTACTACCCTCTCTGATCCCGGGCTCACCGCGCTGCTATCCCCTTTTACCGGGGACAACCGCAGCCCCTTGCCCTTCTCCTGGGGTGCTGTGCCACTAACCCCTTCCATCGGGGTCTACCGCAGCACCCTGCCCGTCCAGGGTTTTCCTGCAGTGTAGGCCTATCACCGGGTCCGCCACGCCCGTCCTGGGCTCCTCAATATTGCCCTGCTCTAGGGCTCCTCAATAATCGCCCCTCCCTGGGGCTGGGGTCTATGCACCCCGCAAATGATGCCCTTGCTGGCGTCTGCTGCGCCTATCCTGGGCTTCCTAGTATGGCGCTCCCCCTCTTCGGGGCTCGCCGTGCCCACCTCAGGCTTCCTGACAGTCCTGTAGGGCGCTCCCCCTCTTTGGGGCTCGCCATGCCCACCCTGGACTTCCCGACAGTCCTGTATGGCGCTCCCCCCCTTGTGGGCTTCGCACACAACCCGGGGTCTGTGTCCCCTGTCCGCAACCCACTGGTTGCGCTCTTCACAGCCAGCTGCACCCGCCCTGGCGCTATGAGGATAATACGCCCTCCTGGCGCTGGACTGCGCCCCACTGGCGCTAGGGCACCCCGCACCCTCTGGGGTCCCTATGAGGATAATGCGCCCTCTTGGCGCTAGGGCACCCCACACTCTCTGGTGTCCCTATGAGGATAATGAGCCCTCTTGGCGCTGAACTGTGCCCTCCCTCAGGCGCTGGGGCCCCCACACTCTCTGGTGTCCCTAAGAGGATAACGCACCCTCTTGGTGCTAGACTGCACCCTCACTGGCGCTAGGGCACCCCACCTTCTCTGGGGTCCCTATGAGGACACTGCGCCCTCCTCGGGTGCTGGGGCCCCGCTCTCTGGGGTCCCTATGAGGCCTCCTCCAACCCCTACAGCCTCACCCAAGCCTCTGGTGTAAGATCAAAGCCTGAACATAAACTCGAGCCTCCTGGCTATAACTCAAACATAAAGCCTCCTGGCTAACCCATGGTACTCAAACCTCTCAGAGCTGCCATCCTTCTCTCAGCTAGAGTGGTTCCTGCATTGCTCGCCTCCTAGCTCCAGGAGCTTCTGCCCCTTTGGCTGCTGGCAGAGAACTGCCAGCCTGGCCTCAGCCCTGGGCTTTATAAGGGCCAGGCCCTGCCTCCTACAGGCAGCTGGCTCTCCTTAGTTGCCCCGGCAACCCGCAGCTGTGCTCATTATGTTCTGCCAGGGCTCTCTCCCCCTGGCAGTTTCTACTCCCTAGGAGCAGGCACTGAAGTGCCCTGAGACAGAGAGAAAACAAGAAAATTCAAAAATCCATCTTAAAGAGCATTACAGAGTCCACATTGGCTCCAACTGAGGAAAACCAGCAGCACTTTAAAGTCAATGGGCATTTATACAGCGGCTGGGGAAGGGGGTAGGGGGACACTTTAATTATTGTGTCTCTGAGAGCCGCTCTAATTAAAGCGCCCGGAGTGTCATGTGCATCAGTATCCCCGTGCTTAAAAATGGTCGCGGGGGTGCTTTAACTAAAGTTCATCAAATGAGTTTTAGTTAAAGCGCTCCCACTGCCATTTTTCAATGTGGGGACACTGATACACATGACACCAGAGTCTGCAGGAGCACAGTAATTACCATGTTCCAACAGACTCGATTAATCGAGTCTATTCCAATGTGCTGTAATTATAGCATGTCGTAGCAGCCTCTCTGCATGTGTATAGGAACCTGATGGGCCTATTCCTTTACCTAAAAATCATACATGCAGTGCTGGATCACCTCTTTTATTTCTACAAAGTCTCACTTCCCTGTTCATAAAAAGGAGACAGTACTTCTTCCTCTCTTAGCCTTTCTAGTTTATCATCTAGTCTATTCAGATGATAAACTTTGGCATTTTTATTGATTCATAATCAACCATAATCACTACCTACACCCACACATCTGCTCAAACCCTCCAGTTGGGCAGCACCTCTGAACTAGGAAGCCCCTCATCACCTACCTGCACCACCTGTTTCCAAAGGCTCTTCCCCAGACAACTGGGCTGCACAACTATGGGAAGAATGATGGGTCTCTGAGAACTGCAGGCTCAAAACATTCATCCCAAGCCCCTCTATGAGACCTCCTGGCTTTGATTTGGACAGACACTTCTGGGTCTGCCTCAATAGGCTTCAAACCAGCTATGGCTGCTTCCACCATAACATGCATGAAATGTGCCTGACATCAAGTGCCGCTTGTGAATGTGGCACCCCCACACAGACCACAAACCACATAGTCACAGAATGCCCTGTCTTCCATTGCCCTGGAAACCTCAATGCCCTCGACAACCCATCTTGATCCTGGCTCAGCTCCATCTAATGTGAAATATGACCAATGCACCATTTTTGTCATACAAATAAAAGAAAAGATTATCAACTTTTGGGGCCAGTGAATACGCATATTTCCTTACTATTATGCTATAGAACAAAATGAGAAAATACACTTACACTTGAAAGTGCCACTTTCTCTTGGTTAGTAACACTTTCAGAAGAACATAACACTTTGCATTTTAAACAGCAAGGGTTAGAATAAATAAAAAGTACAAGGAAGTGAAACACATTTTTTTTCCTGAAAGGGAAACTAGAATATTTCTACGAAAAAAATTTAAAGGAGGATTTTTTTGGTAGATGGCGAGGGAATCCCAACCAGCTTTAATGTATAGTGCCTAGTACAGAGAGGCTTGCTCTACTGGATTATACACATATTAATCTTATATGAGAAGAAAACAAAATCACAGAGGAAAAGGATTATGGAAAAGAATCAAAGAATCAGGATATGTCCATGTGCAGATCTAAGATTTTGAAAAGGAGGGTGCAGATGGTGTGGAGCATCAGACATAATACAACACATTTTTATCAAGTTAAAAAGTAACAAAAGCTTTAATAATAAGCTAGGGACCTAGGACTATATTATTCCATTTAAGATCTAACCAAAAAAAATATTGAAATGTGTGTTAATTTATAGATTTCATAGGTTTCATAGACATTAGGGCTGGAAGAGACCTTGAAAGATCATCAAATCCAGCCCCCTGCCTCAGGGGCAGGAAGTCAGCTAGGGTCAAAGGATCCCAGCAAGATAAGCATTCAAACTGTTCTTAAAAGAGTCTAGAGCAGGTGCCTGCACCACCTCTGGAGGGAGTCTATTCCAGGCTTTGGGGGCTCAGACTGTAAAGAATGTTTTCCTTATGTCCAACTTAAAATGGTTTTGGAGGAGCTTGTGACCATTGGACTTTGTCATCCCTTGGGGCACTCTGGTGAACAGATGTTCCCCCAGATCCTGATGCACACCCTTTATATACCTATAAGCTACTACCAGGTCACCCCTGAGCCTGCACTTTTCCAGGCTGAAGAGTCCCATGGCTCTCAGCCTCTCTTCATAAGGTCTATTCTCTTGCCCTCTGACCATGCGTGTGGCTCTCCTCTGGACTCTCTCAAGCTTCTCCACATCCTTCTTGAATTGTGTACCATACTCCAGCTGTGGTCTCACCAAGGCCAAGTACAGTGGGAATATGACACCCTGAGATTTACTTGAGAAGAATCTAT